TTATCATCTTGAAAAATGAATTTCCCTTTATTAATTTAATATGGGAGGTATAAAAGGAGAGAGAAAATAGCTACAAGAAATAGCAGTGTCTGCAAAACAAAAGGAAGAAGTCACACATGGACAAGATTATTTGTGAAACTGCAATAAGACAGAGCACAAAGGGGCCCGAGCGTTTCTATCTAACGCTGTGATTAGGGAGATCACCTCCCAGTGCCCTGTGGACTGCACATGCAGACATACTCATTCTCCGTGTTATCTTACAGAAAGACTCTGGCCTCGAGATTAGAGAGATCGGGAATGAATAGAAGCAGGAATGAATACATCAGTCCAGCACTCATCAAAGAGTCCCTCAACAACTAATTTGGGTTATTTTAATTTGCTTTTGGTAGTGCTGGTGATTTTATTTTTCCAATTTTAGCTTTCATTGTTACTGCCAATGTAATGAGTCCTGGTGGTGTCGTGGTTACATGATTGCTAAACAAAAGACCGAGGGTTCAAATCCACCAGGCACTCTCAGGAGAAAGATAAGGCAGTCACTCAAGCTTTGAACTTGGGCAATTCTACTCTATCCTGTAGAGTTATACTACATGTAGGCATTGACTCAATAGCAATGGCTGCAGTTTGACTTTTTACCAATGTATTGTTTAAACTGAAGGGGAAAGGAAAAGGTGTAGTGTTATACATGTCAGATAAAACACACAAACTAGAAATTAGGCAAAACATATTAATGATTTGTTTTCCAGTGGAACATTGTATTTGATTTTCAATTGACAGACATAAATCTATAGGTGCCGAGGTTAACTGGTAGATTTTTTTTTAACTTGATAGAAAATCAAGAATGACTAATGGAACGGATAACATTTATGCAGTAAGACATTTATTGTACAGTGAGAAACTAAACCCGCTTTCTACCAAGCCTTGTTATTGTTAGCTGGCTTCTCAAACGCTCTCTGGACTACTTTTAACATCTTAATGGTTCCCTCAATCCTTGATAAACTGTTAGGTGTGTTGTGTGATTCCTTTGCTATGTTCCTGTGAATCATGTTTTAAACTTGAAAAAAAAATTCTAATGTGAAATCTAGTAGTTTTTTATTATTTCTAAGAAAATCCTCCTATGAGCTAGTGAAATTATTTAATGAAATGGAGTCCATTGGTAAAGAATGTCACATGCTTACCTGACAAACGGAAGCATTGTGCCCACGTGGTCTTTCCTATGTTCTACAGCATACCGCCCACCTTCCATCTAAATCGTGGACCAGGCAATTCTTATTCTTTTCACAGATGCTGACATAAACGTGGCACTTGGTGACTTTTTAAAGAGAGTTTGTAAACGCCAGCTTTGCCTAAACTACTACGTTAAGCACTAGGCAGCAAGGACAGATACTTAACAGATCCAATTAATTTTTCCCCACCCCATCACACTGAAGGTGCCCTGGTGACATAGTGGTTACATGTTGGACTGCTAACAGATAGGTCGGCAGTTCACAACCTGCTGTTCTGCGAGAGAAAGATGAGGTGACCACTCCCTGTAAACAGCTCCAGTCCGGGAAACCCACAGGGGAACTTGTGCCCTGTCCTATCGGGTCGCAGTGAGTCAGAATCAACTCAACGGCAGCGAGTTTGGTTAACTACTCTGAAAAAAGATATGTTAGTCAAAATAAGGCATATGGCTTTACATTGATAATAGGCTGAATTTAACGGGGTGAAAAATATTCTCAATATCCTTGGGAAGGGCTGAACTACATAAAAAACTCAATAAAGAGACATAGGGCCATTAAAGGTTATACTGGGAAACCTTTTTAGACGGAAAAAACTTAACTAAAACAGTGAAAAATGTTTAAAAAAGGAAATCCACCTGCTTTTCTCCCCTACCCCATTATCATAATACTATGATAGTTATTACCCAGAGGCAGTCAGCAGGCATCTGTATTTTCCACACACATGTATTGTTCTTCACTATTTATATCATAATTAGATGAGTCCATAAAGAGAAGCAACGAGAAATCTTCCAAAAGGTTTTTGTATGGTTGGAATATTTTATAATTGGACAGTCTTTCTCATTCATCCTTTCATGTAGACTTATTGTTTCTTGTGGTCATTCTATTTTTTTAAGATGAATGAGAATCCTGACATTAAAAGAGATGAAATAAGTGGAATGAGGCGGGGCTTGGGGAGCGGGGTGGGGATTTGGCCAGGTTGCAAAACAGCATTGAAGATGCTATTTCTTCTAGTTGCCAACTGAATAAAACATGAATGTTGTCCAATGTGGCTTGGGAAATTATTAATATTCCCTTTACAGTGAAAAGAGGAATTGCTAAATGATTTCAAATATAATTACAAGGAAAAGAAAATGTAAATAAAAAAGTTCTGCCGCTAGTGAGATTTCCTGCACAGCGGTATTTAAAAACCAAACAAACAACAACAACAAAATGTAAAATACTGCTTATCCTAAATGCCAAACTTCCTGTAAAAATCCCTGCTGAACACTGAAAATTAAGCTCACTAATCAATTCATGTTTCAATACTCACCCCTCAAGATGAAATTTATGACTTTTGCTAAAAAAAAAAAAAAAGCAATTAGTTTGTGACAGAACAAGTACCCTGGATTTAGACACCTTCCAATTTTAACGAAAGTAAAAGATTTCTTTTTTAAGGCTGAGGTCAGATTTAGCCCAAGGTCACACTAATGTGTCTGTCATTGTCTACCACTGACATTTGCTGAATATTACCTCAGGCTACATTTTTAGCATTCCCTCTGGCATGCTGCGATTAGATGTGACATTTCTTGGCCAGGATGAAACACAAGGTCAATTCTAAAGAATGTAATACTGTATCTCTCTCTCTCTTTTTCACTATGCAACTTTGCATGTGCTTATCTATAGTACACAGGCAGTTCATTTTAAAGCATGAAACTTTGAGGTACCACCACTAGCACATTCTCCTTCATTGTCCCGGGCGGTATGACCATCTCCAGAGCCCTTAGCAAAATCCCTGCGAGAAAAACAACAGTGGCAGTGGAGGTCCGAAATCCTCCAGCTCCTGCTTGAAGAGGTTGAAGAGTCCCCCTTCCTGGGCCTGTGGAGGGGATAGTGCCGTCACCCACTGAGATGTGTCATGAAGAATAACCAGCTAATGTAAACCCCAGTGAAGGCCTAGTCAACTGAATCACGAGTAGGATTTCTATAGGCCTAACACCAGCCAACAGCACTTATTAACCAGAGTTCTTAGGAAAAACCCATTGGTAAATTTTAAGGAGGAAAAACAACTTTGAAATGTCATGAATGTTACTGAATATTAATTTTTATTCCCATTAGTAAAAGGAAATAACAATACAAATCCACCTTTGGCCTGAGAACCAGCATTGCTGTCATAATCACCTCTCCTATCCACTTACCCTGATTAGATCCATCAGTATCACGACCTGGAAAATGCACTTGAATTTTGTTCTAGAACGAAATACAATGCTTGTATAACATAAGCACTGCTTTTAACCAAACTGAGGGAGATGTGTTAATTCTTGATCAACACATCAAGAAATCTTAACCACTAAGATTTTCAACTACAAAATAAACTGTATACTTAAACACATTTAAGTATTAATATATAGTCACTTCCTGGCATGGGTATTAGTACTGAGCTACCTGGCACAATGAAATATACAAAATATGAATTTATGGATTTATTTTTGTCTGAAACTAGATTTTATCTAGAAAGGCACACCTCGAAGTAGGTTGAGGTCTTGATTTCAGGAGCATATTTATCAGTATTTCACAGTATCTGAAGATCTAAAGATATTGCTTTTTCTCCTTGATTTAAATACTATTTTTGGCACAACATATAGTCTTAGAAGAGATCTTTTTTAAAAACCAGAAAATACCCCATCTGCTGGATGTAGCTTTCAGTCTCTGCAGCTACGTAGGACGTGTTGCTAGTTACTTGTGGAAGGAGCTTGAGTTTGCGACTTCAACCTTCAGCATTCAATGAAGTGACTGTCAATATCACGGTGAAGCGATAAAGCCCAGCTAGCTCTTTATACCTATAAGGAGAGCAATGAGCCAGGCCAGCAGCTCGGCGGACAGAGCATTTACTAACAAAATGATCGTCGAGATGGACTGACTTGATGGATGTTGGGGTTATTTGGAACGGAGGCGCCCATGACAGAAATGGCCACAGATGCGGAAGCCTGGCACAGCCCCCCTTTCTTCAGCCTGGCATGGTTTATTAGCATCAGAAGGGCTTCCTGTTTTCTCTCCCCTTAATGACACTGTTCTATGAGCCAAAGAATGTTTTCATTTGGAAAATAAGAAAGCAATGATGTGTAATCTGAACTGTGATTTCTTCAGTAATTCCAAGGGGATAGATATGTTAATTCTAGGCCTTGAAGAATGGCCTGGGCAAGGCCCATTGCTTTTCTGATTTCAGTGGCTGATGGGCCCCGGTGTGAAAAGGTTAATTAATACCACTTAGAACCTTTCATTCCATAACAGCTTTTGTTTGAGGGGTGATACAATGAGGGGCATTCCAGGGACACTTCCACATACTTTTACCCAGTGCATATCACACTATCTTTTGGAAACTAGAGTTTAGCTCATCATTTGTTAATTACAAATACCTGAAGCAATGGACTTCCAGCGATTCTGTCAACGTTTATGAAAGAAGCGCGTACCCTGAAACTGTAGTCCAGAGATCCTGGGGGTGCACAGATTCTTATACAAATAATGCCTTTGGGAATAGAAATAAGACCGTCTCTTTCATATACACACAAATATACAAAGCCACATCGATCTGGGAAATCATATTTTCTTTAGGGTTTTTATAGCACGAATTTCTAAACAGCAGGGAAAGTGTATAGTTGTGTTGGGGTGGGAGTGGGGGGCATGGAGGGAGGAGAAAGAAGAGAGTTTTCCCCTGGCTTTAAAACTGGAACGAACCAACTCTCAACATTTGCAAAACATTCCTTTATTATTAGAAATAAATTATTTGTATAAAAAATTGCATGCGTCAACCATGGCATTTATTTTTAGCACAACCCAGGGCTTCAATCCAGTCAGCCATTACAAGAAACAGACTCATAGTCTTTACAAGTTGAACAATGTGGGACAGGTATGGGGGTTCTCACGGTCACAGAAAAAATACTTACAAGAATAACATCAGACATGGTTTATTTCAACAGCATTTTTTTTTCACAAGCTAACATTAGGTTTCCTTTTTTGATTTTTTTTTTAAACTTCTCATGAGGTAAGCCATACTTAAGCTTTACACTCATTGGCTGTATTTTATAAAACAGGTTTCTTCAATACCCGTTATTGGTACTTTTCGGCTCGTGGCTGAATTTTGTTCCTTAAGAGACTGACGAGTGATTTGATTGACTGTAGTCTACAGAGATCGCCAGTTCCTGGTGGTGTGCTCTGTTGAAGATCACATGCCACGTTTCTTCAGGTTGTATCATGTCCCCGTTTCAGATCGAATGATTGCTGTAGCTGATATATGTAGTCTTGGTAGAGGAAGCTGTTAAAACAAATCAACAGGATTCTTGTGTTAATGTGATTTCCTAACCCAATGGCTACCTGTCTACCACCTGCTATTGATTATTTTGTTCATTGTGCAATAGACGGCCAATGGCTACTGAAATGAAAATCCCACCAGAATTTTAAGCAACATAGCCACTACCCTTATTGATAGCATATTGATATTTATCAGAACACTAAAAATGTAAGAGTTCTAATCTTTAATAAATGTGTATTTTGATTGACCAAAATTTACATCTATACTAAAGGAAAACACAGATATGCCAGTATGTCCTACAAAATGCAAAATTATTCCCAAACAACCTTAAAGACGTCATCTCTTCTCAGTCTGATATCTGGTTACCAAGAGTTAATTACTGCATATACTCAAGTATAAACCGAACTTTTCAGCACATTTTTAACGCAGCTTTTGTGGTAAAATTAGGTGCCTTAGCTGATACTCAGGTCAGCTTATACTCGAGTATATATGGTAATTAGGTATAATATGTATAGTACGAATCATTCATCTCTTTGAAAATCAGTAACACTTTTAAACACTGGATGAGACATAGTGAAATATCAAGTAGATTAAACATTTGTAAACATTAAAATAAATACGTGCTTTTCAATAAAAATGTAAGTGTTGCTTGTGTTGGGTTTCCGAAGCACACGAATAGAAATGTCTAGAACATCAATACTCAATGAGAAAAAGAAGAATACTGAATTATTTGGGTAACTATGAGATAAAGTATGTATTATAAGAAAATTAGAAAGATATGAATAACAACATACTCATGTTTAGTTTTCCAGAAAATATCAATCTAAAGAATTCCTAGATTTGAAAAAAAAATCTGAGGGATGTTAAAGAAGATGTGAGGGAAAAAATACCTTTTTTGAAATTCATTTGTGATTAATAATCATAAGGGGGGATAAAAATTTAAAAAAACATGCATTTTACTACATATATGCATTTTGCTACATCAATCCCACTTAGGATGAAATAGATATTTTAAAAAATAACCTGGTTCTTCTGGTTATTGGCACATTGGCTCCGGCTCTAAGTGCTAAAGTGCTTCATTTTGAAGAACTGATATTCAGACTGGTGATGACACACCAACAATGAGAATCTGGTAAGAGAATTTCTTACCAGAGATCAAGATCATATAAAATTCCCAGTCACTATCATCAATGCAGGTGGCCTTATCTATATTGCTCCTACCTCTAAGTAACCACTGTGGCATGGTTACAAGAAAGATGACTTTAGATTTGACTTTACATCCTATTCTGTGTGAAAAAGCCCTTGACCCCGTTCACTGGGCCTCGTTTCCCCAGTGGTCAAATGTGTCCAATATGGCTTTTGTGAGAATGAGGAGAGAGTAGATTGGTGAAAGAGCGGTAACCATTTTATGGAGTCCTACTTTTTAACTCGCTCCTTCCCAAAGGTAAAATGCCTCTCATGTTTGGCTTGATGTAAAGTAGAACTCATAATTTTTATGTTTCTGTGTTTTGAATTTAAAATTTCAGTTTGTATAATGCTCTCATCTTCTTCTAAACTCCCTCTAAGAAAATGAAATCTGTCGTTCAGCTAGGCATTCATATAATGGATTCTCATATAAGCTTTGCCTATGAGAAAAATCATTACAGCGTTAGTGAAAAATGTAACTAAAAATTGCTCTGTTCTGTGCTTTGTTCAATAAGCGCTAGATATCTATGACTTATTAAATTTGTAAAAAAATTAGAGGCTAAATAGAGGAGAAAGAGCCAAAATGATATTTAAGATGATATTCAAAAGATGCCCAGGCAACTGATGGTGATATGAGTCAGGCCATCTTTAAGAATTATTCCAATGTTGAGACTCCATGGTGTTGTACAAATTCACACTCTCCCCTTTGAGCTACTATAGGTGATCATTGGTGCAGGTGGGAGGAGTGGTAAAAGTATAATTCTCTTGAATTGAGACTATGATTCACAAAAGGGTAGAAATGCTCACCCCAACCCCCACCCCTGCTATTGATTAGTAAAAGAGTCCAAGATTCTAGAAATCTATGATTTAGTCAACATAAAAGCAAGAAGGGGCAACCTTTGCCAATGGCAAATATCACACAACTACTAGGCTCTTTCTCCTAGAAGAACTACAGAGTGAAAAACGGATGGGAGATTTACCAAAGAACTAATAGGGACAGTTTCATATATGAATATGCTAATGTGAAAATCCATGTTTGCGTGTCGCGCGGATGGATTTACTTGTGTGCACCACACTGTGTTCATAAGCCAGAGAAATCAAATCTACCTCTAGCAGCAGCTGTTTCATGCATTATTCATGAACATAGTTTAAAGAACACCAGGCACAGCATTTGTTAATTGATAAAATGCATACGTACCAACTTCATTTGCTAACTCCCCTCTCGCCCTGTTTTGAAGCAACACTTGACCCTTTTTGTCTGAAATGTGATCATCTGAAAATTCAGCAATTACATGCACTCTTTGGTTTCCCTTCCAGCTGCTCATGGAGTACTTCTGCTCTCTGTCAGTTTTGAGCTTTGAAACCTTAAACATGTGACCAGAATGTCTGATATTATCAGTCACCTTTATGATGAAATGTCTAAATATGAGGGACTTGCAAAGATCCGTGGCCACAAGAGAAAGTCGCTAAATGGATATCATAAATCAGCAGATAATTAAAGACAAAAACAAAAACAAACCAACCATGGACAAGTAGTCATAACTACCAGCATCTTCAACATATATCAAGAATAAGGGGGGGGAGGGGGTTTAAGGAAAGAGAGATGCTGCAATTATAGTTTTAAATTTATTTCAAGGTTAATTTTTTTTGTGACCCATAGACCAGCTACATTTTCAAGGCAGCAATGATATCTGTAACTCCAAAATCCCTGGCATTGAATTGATTCTCTTGCATAGCTTCCCTATAGGACAGGGTAGAACTGTCCTATACTCTTTACAGGAGTTAGCAGCTCAATGCATCACCACCATTCCACCTGGGGCTTGGAGGAAAGCTAATTAACCAGCATTTTGCTGATGATACAACCTTGCTTGCTGAAAGGAGGACTTGAAGAATTTGCTGATGAAGATCAACAATCTCAGCCTTCAGTATGGATTACAGCTCAATGTAAAGAAGGCCAGAGTCCTCACAATAGGTGACATCAAGATAAATGGAGAAAAGATTGAATCAATGCTCATGGAAGCAGCAGTCAAGAGATCAAATGACACACTGGTTTGGGTAAATCTGCTGCACAAGATGCCTTTAAAGTGTTGAAAAGCAAGGATGTTACTTTGAGGACTAAGATGCATTTCAATTGTGGTCAAAGAAAATTGAAAATATAAATAGATCTATCTTGGAAGAAGTAGAGATAGTAGAAGAAGTAAGAGTGCTCCCTAGAGGCAAGGATGGCCAGACTTCATCTAACTTACTTTGGATATGTGATCAGTAGAGACCAGTCTCTGGAATAGGACATCATGCATGCTAAAAAAAAAAAAAAAAAAAAAAAAAAGGTGGAGGGGGCAGCAAAAAAGAAGAAAGCCCGGGACAAGACAGACTGACACAGTGGCTACAACAATGAGCTCAGACATAAGAACAATTGCGAGGACGCGGCAAGACCAGGTAGTATTTCGGTTGTACACAGGGTCTCTACATTTTGGAATAGGCTTGAAGACATGTAACAACAACAATGATATCTGTACCCTAACCCAGAAGTTTAGAAATCTCTTTTAGATATGTGATTTAGTTTAGATTTAGAAATAACTTTTAGATATGTGCATATAATGATTGTCATTTCATTATAGTAAACGGTGTTCTATCAAAAGTCTGATAGCAGTTGGTATGGGAACATAGCAACATTGTTACTGCTCCAGTGGATTTATAAACACTGGTGGATATATCGTGATTGGATTCCACCTATTCTGAGATGATCTTCTATGACAGCAAACTTGTGAGTTTCTGAGACTTTAACTATAGGGTTGCTGTGTGTCTGAATCAACTGGGTGGCAGAGAGAGAAAGAGAGAGATTCTGAGATAAGCTGATTTGAATCTAAAGAGGAGGTACTGCTAGTTAGTTAGAGGCAGTTGAGTGGAAAAGGCTTTTCCAGAATTCAGGTATACTTTCAAAGGTGTAGCATATGCTATATGAAGGAAAAGTTATATCTTAGTTGTTAATTTTAGGAATTATTTTAGAGCATTTGTGACTTCAGATTTTTTACCTCAATAAGAACCACATGTAGTACACACCTAGTCAAGCCAACAGGTAGTAAAGATGACATAGGCATGGAAAGCTAATGATGCTCAGTGATACCAGGTCTCTCAATGAGCACAAGGTTTTATTTCAAAACCCCTCTACAGGACGGCGGTGTAAGTGAACATCGTTTGGCAACAATGACCTGGAGCAGAGTGATGGAGCTGGAGGGATATGAAAAGACTTTATAATGGGTCTCTCCTATAATCACCTCATCCAGACCAATCTGTGCAAACCTAAATCACTCCAATCTCCAAAGTACAGCTGAACTTTTTTTTCAGATACTAATTTATTTCATCTTGATTCTTCTTTTCAACATTTCCTTCGCCTTCCATAGGTGAGCATCTGACTCTGCTAGAATATGATTGACTTGCCTTTCGTACTGATCTTTCATTTGTTAGTTTTTTCTCTAAATCATTTTATCGGGGGCTCATACAACTCTTCTCACAATCCATCTATCCAGCCTTGTGTCAAGCACATTTGTCCATTTGTTGCTATCATTATTTTCAAAACATTTTCTTTCTACTTGAGCCTTTGGTATCAATTCCTCACTTTCCCCTTCTCCCTCCACCTTCCCTCTCTCACAAACCCTTTAAATTATTATTTTTTCATGTCTTACACTGTCCAATGTCTCCCTTCACACACTTTTCTGTTATCCGTCCCCCAGGGAGGGTTATATGTCAATCATTGTGATCAGTTCCCCTTTTCTTCCCCCATCTGTCCCTTACCTTCTCTGTCTCGCAACTCTCACTATTGATCCTGAGGGGTTTATCTGTCCTGGATTCCCTGTGTGGCAAGCTCTTATCTGTACCAGTGCACATGCTCTGGTCTAGCTGGATTTGTAAGGTAGAATTGAGGTCATGATAGTGGCAGGAAAGAAGCATTAAAGAACTAAAGGAAAGTTG